CTAAAAGAACTGACTTCCTACGGTAATGAAGGATTTTCTGAACAGTTCTGTAACATGTATTTCTTACATTCCCCTAAAGGGTACATGCTCCTAAAGGGAACTGAAAAATGACCTTTCAGAAAAAGAGAGTTTGGAGCAATTACTTGCTCTTCAGCAGTCTCTTTGAAATTTTGCTTTACAGAATTAAACCTTAGAGATTCCTTCCTCTGCTTTTCCTTGAGGCATGTATAGTTTGATCACTGACATGCTCTCTCTGTGGGCTAAACCTAGTTTCATTTCTAAGAAAATGTTGAGCTCGCTGAAGCATATAACTTGCCATACTGCATTATGTTCATTTAGCCCAGCTGTGTATCTGTAGCTGTTGTTGATTCCCAGTGCTTTTGAGAAGATGCAAAACTGAAGCAAACTCAAACACATTTTCGACAGAACTGGAGTGATGGAGACTTCATCCTAACTATTAACTTGTTTAAACTTTGTGTTTCAAGCTGCTTTTTTTTCTTTTAGTACCTCCTATGTAAATAACAAGAATATCCAAAAGTACAGTAATCTGGGACAAGAGAATATTGTCCTCCCTCTTAGACTCCTGCTGTGTGTTTTGACTTTAATAACATCCTGGAGCAGCGAGTTTTGCAGTGTATTTCGTTATTTGATGAAAAGACAACACTCAGAGTTGTCAGCTATGCAGCCTGCCTCCTCTTGTACTACAAGACTGAGAAAATGAAAGCTCTCAGACCAGGTTCTCTATGCTATTTTTGTTTGCAATCTGTTTGCTAGACCTTGAAGAAGAATCTATAAGGGAATATTTACTAAAAAGTAACCTTAAAATACTGCATTTCCTATTCACAAACAGCCTAATCAAACAGGACTTAGAAAGGAGGAAAGTAAAGGAAGGGAAACAGGATAGCGATTATACTTTCCTTTAAAGACAGCAGTTGTAACTTAAAGTGGTCCCCTGATTTCTCAGGGCAGGTGACAGCTACTTGCCCCCTTAGGTAGTACTTGGTTCATTGGCACTAAAGCTCAAGTCTGGTGTATCCACCACCAGCCTCAATCCAGGCTGGATTGTGTGTTGAAGCAACACCATGTAATTTGGGTTGGTTGATCCCAGTCCTCTGCTGTCCTTTACTACTTACCATCCTGATGGCTGTTGCTTTCTCTTAGGCACTTGTTAGAGACTTTGTGTTTTTTCATAGGAAATAACACATAAAGACACAAATAACCCTTGTTGCTCCAGGAAGATTGTTTTTTAGTCTTCTCTTCTAGGAGCTGCTGCAACCCCAGGCCTAAAGCTAGGTTTTAGAGTCAGATGACTGTTAGCCTGACTTATTTTGCCCAGGCTTTTCACACATTACTGCAATTACACCACAATTCCAAATTTATACCATGTTCTCTTGCAGTGTCTGAATTGTTAACAGAAATGCAGCAAAGCATATCCTTCCAAAAGGTTTCAAGCCTGCTCCTTTCTGCTCAGCTCCTATTGTATCCACAGAATGCAAATGGAGGACTCACCCCCTCTTGATTTTCCATTCCTCCACATTGCTCAGAGAAGGGTTGGCTTGGTTTTTTCAAGGGTATTTTTTTTGTTTGTTTTGTCCTCTCCTAAGCCTCAGGCCTGCATATTTGAATCTCTTCTTATTTATTTAATTTCTTAGGCAAAATGTTCTGATTCAGTCACAGGGCTTTTTTCCATGCCAATTCTGTATCCAAATGTCTCCTAATTCTGTAGCCTTCTAGACTGCCACAATGAGAGCTGTGCAGATATCAGCTGAGATTGTATCATTTGTACATATATGAATCTTAAACATTTTCTTGATCATAACCAAGTACTGCACTGTCTACATTGATAGCTCTGTCTTTTTCTGGAAACAATATTTTAATATATAATGTGCACAATTAATTTTTTTATCTTCTCTACCTTGTGCAAACTGAACTTGACACTGTGCTCCCTCTACACAAACACTGAAGAAATTTGCCCATTTATGTGCAGATTGACAACAGAAATGAAGTTTGCTGGCACCACTGAAGCAATGAACAAAAAAAATCTCAACTGTACTTAAATCAAAGGAATTATGTAAGCAAACAAGAAAGGGCAGATCTTCAAGGTACTAAACCTTTATTTTCATGCAAAACCTCAATGATTTCGACTGGCTTCATGTAGAATAATCTCCATATAGAAGATGATGAGCAATCAGCAGGGCAACCAGAGTAAATCTCTTGATATGTTAAGTGGGTGCAAGGAACATATTTTGTTTTAAAAGAAACAAAAAGTGAGCAAACCAGACATCTCTGCAGGAGGAATGCTCCATCTCATCTAATTAAACTCAAAAGATGAACAGTTGGGCTACAGAGATGCATGCACCAGACAGATGTTCAACTTATTCCCAGAATTCAAGTTTGGGATGTAACAAAATTTTGAATTTTCAGATGGAAAAGGCTGTAACCAAACAATGTAGGCTGCAAGTAGCATTTAATGCCAAATATCAGATTTAATAACGTGTTATCTACAGTCTAATCAGACCATTAGTTCAGGGTATAGAAAAAAACCTGCTCATTGTTTAACAAGGTAAATAGCTGGGATTGGTATTTCTTCTGCCTTTGTAGGGGATCTCAGTTTTATAACTTTATTTTCAGCCCAGATTTTGTCATCAAAGTAGGCTTCTCTGCAAGTTTACTTGATAACTTCAAAACCTGCTAGCCAAATACAAACCATATGCAATAAAGGTAGGAGCCCTGAAAAAAATTAATATCCTAGAAATGTTATGTAAATATACATCAGGAAAGAAGAAAAAGACAACTGAGGTGTTGCCAGCTGGGAAGGACTGACTGAGCAATCTAGTAACTTGGTTCAGACGGAATCCACACCAGGCAAATCTCTCAAGTTCGCCTCAGCCGCAGGACAGAATCTCAGCTACTCCAAGTCAGTCAGTCACAGGGCTCTGTTTCCAAGCACACACAACCTAAGTCAACCTAGTTTTGTGCAGAAACTTCACTATTTTGTAATTTCGACTTCAGCAGCACCTGCAGTCCCAAGTCTGCCCTTATGTACCATCCTTTCAATCTCTGTTCACCAGGTAACAGAAAACCATCAGCAGAATTTAAATTCTTAGGGGGATTAATTTCCTGTTTCTGTTTAATCATATGTCATAGTTTTGGTACTTGTTATGTTGTAGCCCACCTGGTTCTTCAAATGCCTTTGAGGTATCCTTAAGGGTAGCCAAAGACTGCATCTTTGCCTATCCTAAGGCAAATAAATACTCTTAAGTCTTTCAGACCTTCTTTGTACACAGTGAAATGAAAAAGAAGCATCCTTTAAAAATACACTGGGAGACACAGCACATTGAAGATCTGAGCACCCCAGCATTATCTTACCTTTCTCCTTTTCCTGCCTTGTTTCTCTTTGATGAACTCCAGTGAAGGGTGATTTGATCTGATAAGTTTTGATGGCAACATAGCTGCTGCAAAAGCATGTGCCCTCTTAAGGCTAAATTACCTTCATGCCTCCAAATTACATCTTTGTAGGTGTGCTGATGATAAAGTTCTGTGGTATTCTGGTTCAGCAAGCGAAGTGCCTTGATACATTCCTCGCTTTTTATGCTTGTGAGGTGGAAAAAAATTAATCTGGGGGATATCTGCTTCAGCAATAGAGCTGTAGCTGGCTTTAATGACACATGCTTTTGGTAATATCAGCTCAGCCTTCTTGTTCCTAAATTCCCTCAGAAGTGTAGAATGTCTGTGCAGTTAAAACCTTGTACTCAGTACTGGCAGATTAACTCTGAAATAAGTCAGTGATTTCGGTGGAGGCATAGAACATTTAAAATAAGAGAGGAATTGTATTCAGTCTCTTGCTATCTCTTTACATAATGTTAATGCTGAGACATTTTTGGGGTTTTTGCTATTTTTTAAAGCAGTTTCATGACTAAGGTTTAGCTGAAAACAACTTTGGCAAAAATGGGTTGAGGAAACTGTTGTGGAACATCCCCTTTAAAGAAGCAACGGAGTGTTTCCTCCAGGCATTTTTGCATCTTTTGTGATGCTACTGGAATGCCATCAAAAATGTCCCATATCCGGAAAACACAAACCTATTTCAATTTTCACTATCCCCCCCCTCCCCCCTCAATACATACAAGTATTCAAAAAAAATTTCCCATACTTAAAAGAGACTGGATTTGGGAAAAAAAAATGTACTTCCATTTTGAGGTTTTGACATTTATATTTCTGTAAAACTGGGAGATGACGAAATATTGAGAATATATTTTGCCTGAAAAGTTGTAACATTCCTTCTATGGTTTTGCTTATTTCTACTTGTTAATAAAGAAGCAAGCAAATGCAATAAAATTACAAGGGACTAGGACCTTAAAATAGTCCACTGATGGATTCCTAGTAAAAAGCTCTACTTTTTATTATGATTTTATTTATTCACAAAGTTTATGGCTGTCTCTGAGAACAGTGTACACCCACGTTAGAAGAAACAAGCAAAAAACCCTGAAAAACACAAACCCAACAACAACACAACCCCTGAAAGCATTTGCTTTGTCTTGAACAGTTTTATACATTTTTCAAGTTTTCAAACACTTGCATTAAATTCCCTGGTAATCATATTAATTTTTTAGGGTTTTTTGTCTGCAGAAATAGATTCTTCAAAAAAGTTGTCTGGATTGGTGCCTTTAAGTGCTTAGTACCTCACATACTATTTTATTTTGTTATAACATTATTTTGCTGAAGTGCATATGGTTATCAATGACTTTGATTTGCAGTGCTATGGGCATGACACAGCTCCTGCCACAATCTATCTAAATAAACACCACCACTAAAGAAACAGTGCTGTCATTACAGAACAATTTGTACTTGTCATAATAATTATAACTATGAATGAGATAAAAATATTAAGTGGACGCAAGCAGGAAGTGCAGCTAAGTGTCAGCTGTTAGATGACAACCTTATGTAGCAGTGAAGGCATGTTGGGTGACACGACGCAAGAAATCAGACAGCTTGCCCCAGCCTTAACTGCAAGCAGCTTTATTTGTTAACCTGTCTCTTGTGCAATTACCGAGTTGCAAAAAACAAAAAAAAAATCATAACATTATAAAGGTGATTGAAATAATAGATGGAATGTAAGTGCTGCATAATACACACTTTGTAATGAGCAAATTATTGCCAAGTGATATGAATACTGATTCACTTAGAATGAATTGCTGATTGCTGAGATCCATATTTGGCACTTAAATAAACACAGTCTTCTACAAGTGATTCTGCTACTCCCTGTGCATTAAGATTTGACTCTGTGATAGGTGGACACCACTATGGTATGTTTGCTGTAGTACCAGAGACTAAATACCAGGGAAAAGCCAAAAATCTATTGGTGGAAGAAGTCACCACATGTGACAGCCCATCAGTGATAAAGCCTTTGGGCTTCTTGCTCACCTGGGTCTTAGGCTTCTGGTGAGCACAGTCAGCAAGAGAAACAATGTTCTTAAATCTTACACTGGCAGGAATTGATTGGGCTGCTGGACAAAGCTTTTCAAAAAACCCTTTGGATTTTCCATGGGAAAGGTGTGTGCTGGCCAGCCAGGCTTCACAGTCAATAATAGAGGCTGTCTCCTCAGCCGGGTGATCAAATCAATGGGTGAAGGACAGAGCCAGCTGCCAACACTGCAGTAGATTACCCTGCCCACTGTTGTCCAGGTGTTTTGTCCAGGCTTTCAGGTGCTGATTTATCCTTTCTGTCCACTGAGTGTCTCTGAAGAGGGAGCATCCCCCTTCCATATGGCTTTTGGTACACTAGGTCTGTCCTCCCTCATTCCAACACTCGTGCAGGGGATTATCCTGGACATGGACTCCTGGACTTCTTCACTGGAGCTGAGCATTCTGGAGGTGCTGCCCAAGTGCAGGATCTTGGCCCTGGGGAACACCTAAATAAGCTTCACATACCCATGGTATTTCAGAGAGGGAAAGTCCAAATTCCCCAGGATCATACCATAATTTGCCTTTTGAACTTGATCAAAGCAAAGACTGTACATATGCATGCAACAAAGGCAACTTGGAATTCTCAGTGTTGCTACTGGAACCCTTTCACTCTTATTGAAATCTGGTATGTTAGCACCATGCACGAAAAATATTTTTTGGAATTAGATACATTTAGTTTTAAATGACAGACAAATTTAACAAGAGACATAAAAACTATTACTTTAGACATTTATTGTAATTTCACCAAATATTTGAAGTATCTGTGAACTAGATTCATCTGATGACCACAGGATGCTTTGAATTCCATTTGTTTCTAGCAAGGACTTTAAGGGGTAATCTAACATATTTTTGGAAAAATAATTACTATTAATGTCCATTAACGCAATGTATCCTTTTATTGTTATTCAAAAACTAGCAAAAGAAAAAGCAATTTGGTTTTAGACCATGCAATTAGTAAGAGTAAAATTACCCTGCAATAATTTTAGACAATGTTAGGTCTGCTTCTGTAAACATATTAATAGCTGAGTATGTGTGTGTTGAGTCATATGTATAATTATTACCAGAATGGCTGCCTTCCAGGCGTGGAGGCTGAGTCCGTGTATAACTCTTCACGTTAGGGGCATGGCATGGGCAGCACTACACTTCTGTCCAGGCTGCTGGCATAAATCATAATTGAATTAGGTAAGGTCAAGGTGTTTTGCACATTGTTTGAAAATAAAAAAAGAAAATCAGAAATTTCTCATGGTGTTTTTTTTTTTTTAGTTCTCCTTTCCAAAATGCCTTTGCTAGTAAATGCCCCTCGAACTGTACATTTGGCTTTAATAAAAGTAGATTCTAACACACAAATGAGTATTCACTGACTGATGCTTTATGCTTTTGCAGGTGCACTGAAGAAGAGAAACCTTGGCCCAAAAAACATTACTTTCTAAAAGGATTCTAGGATTGATTGCTCAGATGAGGCAATAGAAGTTTAAAATCTGTTTTTTAATGAAGAGCTGGGTTTTGGCATTACTGCTGAAAGAGAAACTTTTATGTCTTGCACTTAGGGCATTCTTATCAGTAGCTTTATCTTTATAACCTACCTCTTAAAGAACTGTGTAATTTAAGTTGATAGGGGTATCTGAAAGCTCTCTTTATTGCCTGTAGTTCTTTCTGTAGTTTCAGTTTCATGGCTACAAAGAATATGATCTCTAACTACACTTCTGTTTTTACTGCCCTGCTTTATCAGACAAACTGCAATTTTACACCTTGTTAAGGAAGCAAGGTGAGAAGAAAACCACATTATACTGTTGACAAGGAAGATAAGACTATTATTTACCTTGACATTTCTGAGCAATAATATTCTTCATGTAACAGGATAAGAGATAGAGCATATCCTGCAGTGATAATGCATAAACTGAAAGGAACTGGCTTCCACATGCTATCAACACCAGTAATGAAACTGAGCCCTAGTGCAATAATCCTACATTTGAGCCAGTTCAGAACGGACTATTTGAGAAGAAAGCAAGCCTTTAATTCGGTCAACTAAAGTAAACACGTTTTATCTGTGCACTGCAGTGAATCATAGCCAATTTATTTAAGTGGCTGAATGAAACAGGGTTTGTTTTTCTGCATTTTGTTTGTTTGTTTCATTTGCCTTGCTCTGACCGGCAGGTAAAGGCCATCTGAAGGGGGAACAGTACAATGCACACAAACGGTGGCTGATCCGTGAAACTGTGTATCTGCAGACACTGCAAGATGCCTTAGAAGTTTAATGTACTGCAAGATACTGTTTCACACGAGAATGTTCTTCACAATGAAGAACAAGAGACAAAAAGGAATCAGCCACTGTCACTTCTTCGTTGGAGCAAAACAGCACAGACAAAGCTGGAAGTGAAATTTTAGCCCATGTGAGGAAATTAAACTTACCTTTAATGGACTGAGATGTTCAGATTCTGTGATGAAGACTTAAGATAAATGCTGGATTGAAATAGTCAACAAAATGAATAAAAATGTCACCAAATTAAACTAAATGTCTCCTTAAAAAGTAATTATGTTCAAACTTCTATCAATATTTAATTTTATAACAGTTTGTATTATGTGGTCATTTACCTTATCAGAATGTTCTTTAAATTTTGTTAAAAATTTTTAAAATATTTAGTCAGTGAGGCTCCCACATATTCTCTGGGAGATTATTCCCTCTTTGCCAGGCTGCTTTCCTTCTCTTCCCCATCTCAACTTCACCACAGAATGTTCTTTTTATTCTTCTTGAAGCAGCTTTAAATTGAAAATTCCTCATAGTTCTTCCCCCAGCCTCTCTTTATCAGACAGCCAGAGGGTGAGGTGTATTAATAGCAGCTGCATGACTCAGAGTTGGTAGCTCGAGTGGATCCCTTTGCACTGAGCTTTGCTGCTTGGCCTCCCCGCTTGGGTTGCCACTGATCTCCGGGAGCACCTTCGCTTCCTTGCAAACAAAAATAAACTGAGAAAGCACAGTGGGGGCTGGGATTGCCTCAACCTCTGTGTCCTTCAAAAGGATTCTCCTCACTGCTATTTTATTCTACATTCCCATTGTGACTATATACAAAAAAAAGGAGAAAAATATATAAAAAAAGGTGTGATCCCGTCCACCAGCGTGACTGTTTCACACGACTGAGTGATGGAAAAAAGAACGCCCATCACTGCGATGATACGAAGGAGATGAAGAGGGTCAGTGCTCCACTCAGACTGCATTCCATGCTCTTTCCCTGAAGGCATCCCTGTTCTCATGACCCATCACAGCTCGACCCTTCCCAGCCCTGGCTCACCGCTCACCCACCCCGGTGCTGCCCGCCGCACCGCGGGGCGGTGCCATCGCCAGCTCCGAGCCCCCCTATCTGCCGAGCCACCCGGCCTCCCGCCGCGCCCGCAGCACACGCCTGCCTAAAAGGCGGCACGATGCCTGGCGGGGCTTTGGACGGAAAAAAAACCCACCCAAACCACGCCGTCAATTCCCCCTCGCTGGCTGAAGCCTTTTTTGAGATTGTCCTTTCCCGCCCGCGCTAACGGGAGAGCTGCTCCTCCTCATGCCCTCCTCACTCAAGCGAGCAGGGGGTTTCTGGCGGGCGGCTTTGCCGCTGCAGCAGCTTCCACAGGCTCTCATGACACGGGCAGGGCTGCGCTCGGCTGGGCTGCGCGGGGTCCCCGAGCACCGGCTCCGCCGGAGAGCGCGGAGGGGCGCGTAACCCGTACGGAGAGGACTGCGGTCTCGGAAGGAAAGCGCTCGCCCCGCCGTCCCCTCACGGGAGCTCCGTCCCCCGCCGCCAGGAGCCGCGCTCCCCAAACCATCCCCGAGCCGTCCCCATCCCTCACGGGAGCCCCTCGCGGCCGCCGCCCCCGCGCCCCTCCGGGCAGCGGCTTCGCGCCGCGCGCCGCGCATGCCCGCCCGCCCGCGCCGCGCGTGCGCAGTGCTTGCGCAGGAGCCACATCTGATAGGGGGGAAAATCCGAACGGCGGCGGCGGCCGCCATATTGCGGAGCTGTCACATAGTCCGCCGCGCTCCGCGCCGCATCCCCGGCGAGCAGCGCGGGGCGGCCCCGCAGCGCCTCTTGCCCTGCTGCAAGGGGGCGGCGGGGGGGACACACCGCCCCGCCAAGAGCGGAGAGCGCCGCGCCACGAGCACCCTGCCCCGGGGGCTCGGCGCCCCCCTCCGCTCGGCGCCGCGGAGGGAGCGGAGTCCCAGGTGAGGCGGGGGCGGGGGGTGCGCGGGCGGCCGCCGGCGGGGCCCCGGGAGGGCAGCGCGGGGGCGGCAACGAGAGGCGTGAGCCCGCCCGCAGCCCTCTGTGGGCGGGGGGCACCGGGCGACTTGTTGCGGCGGCGGCAGCGCGGCGCGGCGCGGCGCGGCGCCGCTCGTGTGCGGGACACCGCCTCCGCCCGGGAGCGGGACCCGGCTCGTCGAGCCCCGGCTCGCCCCGCTGTGTCGGGGGGCCCCGGGAGCGCGCCCCCGGCGTGCCCGCGCAGCCCGCGCTGCATTATTCATGTCCCCGAGCGGCGCGGCTCGGCAGGTTACACCGTAGTAGACATGTGGCAGTCGGGTCGGGCCAGCTGAGTGCGGCGGTGTGGGGGAATAATAAGGAATTACTTCATAAACAAGTGCTGTGGAGCATCTGTTGCTGTCTATTGTTTTCGACAAATGCGCGTTTTTAAGAGTCCTTAAGTGCTGACCGACGTAATGGGCGCAGCGGCCCTGAATGAGCCTTTGTGCATTGTTTTTTTGAATGGATTAATGTTTTGTACAAGTCGTGGGCATTTGTAATTAACCTTGTCGCTTAAAGTTTAGCGCAGATAAGGGGTTTTAGTTTCAACTTTGTGGAATTCAGTTGTCTTTTGTCAGTTTCTTAAGCTGAACGCGAAAAAAAAATCTCTTTGGACTCCATGCCAGCACAACTAATCACTTTGGTTGTAAGGTGCTGTTAAGCTGTCTTTTCCAGTCTGTCTAACACCCTAGACAAGTATTTCGTGTTCCTCCTTCTAGTACAGGCTTTTAAAAAGAATCAGTTTTTCAAACTGAGTTACGGGAGTGGCATTTTCTGAGTTTCAAGGAGTTCAGCCTCTGTGGCTGGTTCGTGGCGGGCTTCAGGTGTCTCGCTGCTCGTCGCTCCGGTTTGTGTCCCTCGGCGATGCCTGCCTGTCGCCGTGCCTGTGCCGCGGGAGCGGGTTTGGGGCCGCGTGTGCCTGCGCAGCGCCTGGCACATGGAGGAGCTTGTGGAGATGCGGTTGTTGCTGTCAGCTCCGGGTGCGTTGGCACAGCGCTGCTGGGCAACGTGTGCTCCCGGGGAACATGTGGAGTTGGTGTACAGTAACGTGATGGCTACTGCCATGGAGTTGTTTTTTAATCCTTAAAGATGGCACAAGTAGCAACTGTTTGTTGGATTGTAAGACTTACCTCTATTGATCTATTGATTTAGCATGAGGGACTGTGAGAAAAATAAACTGCGAGTCAGTGCAGTGTTCCCAGATAAGCAGCCTCCCAGCAAATGGCAATTGCAAGGCAGTGGCGTATTTCCAAGCTTTGTACTCAAGTGACACAGTTGTTCTACTAGCTTGGGAAACTGGAAAAAGCGAAACATCTTTAGAAAATGCATGAAAAAATGACTTGGTGTGACATGTCTGGAGCTGTCCAGAGAGTTTTTGTTGAATGCTGACTCAAAGAGAAGGGGTGAAAGTGTGTGTAGAGATGACAAAAAGAGTTCTGCTCTGACTGTTTCTGCCATTGCAGGGCTATGGTAATAGTACTGCCAGAAAAAGCTTGTTTCACAGAAAACTGGGTAAAGCCATAAAGAGAATGAGGATTTAGATCCACCTACGAGCTGCAAAACCAGGAGGGTAAGACATGTAGATGTTATGACGCGAGAAGGCAGTTCCTGGCAGAGTTCCTGTAGCCTTTGCCAGGATAGGTGAACGGCCTTTCTTCTTCAGCAGCCTTGCTCCACTTTTTGAGAAGGGCTGCCTCTGTTGCCAGAGTTGAAGAGGAAAGTTGTTGTAGGCATGACGTCTTTATCCTGGATGTGTTAAAGACATCAAAGCTGTCCTATCACTTTATATTGCATTAGAAGTCTGTGGGAGTAGAGGAGAGGGAGGATTTTCAAGTTTGTAAATGTAAACAAAGCTTTTATACAAACTTCTGGAGAAAGAACTGATTGTGGAAAGATACTGATCCATTAAAGCAGCAGCCAGTGTATCCTGCATGCTCAGCAAGTTTACTCCAGAGCTGAAGAAGCCTAGGTGAACTCCTTCCTTTCGACACCAAAGAACTGCATTTGTTGGCTAACTGTACCAATAGGCTAATACTTAGCTGTACTTTGAATATAAAAAATGTTCTTTTCCTTTCTGCTTTAGATATTTATTAATCACTCTGTGAAGTGAAACCTTCAAGTCATGTAGTACAAAGAAAAAGAAATATGGCATTGGCCCAAAAAGGCAGTTAATCTTTACATGAGTAAAGATTGCAGTTTAAGAACTCTAGCTAGTTCATATGGGGAATGGTGAGTGGCCAGTTCATAAGTTTCCTTTATTTTATAGAGCTGTTTGTGAGAGACTTAACAGCATCATTCAGAAAATACAGTACTTGACATTGAGATGACATATACCCAAAATTCTGCGTACATGTCCTATTTCTTTGCTAACTGTATGTTTAGAGAGAGGATTATTGCACTTGGAAGCTACAGTACTTCTATCAGTTTATATTCATGATTTCCATTTTTGATGGTGCATCCAATGGTAAGATTGGCCTTTTTATCATTGCAGGACTCTTCAGAATCTTTGAATTATTTCCTATAGTGCATTTCGGGGTACTTGAAGTTAAGGTTACTAAACTCAATAAATATTAAGTGTATGTAAATCGTGTATCATGTCTAAAACATATCAGTTTATGAACTGGCAAAACTGCAAGTAGTGCAGAGGTATTCTTTGACTGGTATGAAGTTGCTTTTAATTGAATACTGTGTGGGCAACTGCCAGGTTTTTATTTTACTTCTGAAGTTGACAGGAAGTCCAGTTTAGAAGAACCGCTAACTCTTCAAAATGTATTTTCCTATAGATACATTGAATACGTAAGTTGTGCTAGTTCTGTTGCCGTTACTTTTCAGATGCAGCAAGCCTATTTTGGGTGTTTCAGGGAGGGGAGTGTTAGGGGAAATAGTGGTTTTAAGAAGGGAAAGATACAGTATATAAAAAAAGTGGGTAAAACTCTGCATGTGGTGTCTAGCACTGATCAAATCTCAATTTTTGCACATTAGGTGTACAATTCAGGATTGGATTTTTGGTTGGGGTTTTTTTCTTTTTTCTTTTTTTTTTTTTTTTTGGGTGAGATAAATGTCTTGTGTTAGTTCCCGCCCTGGTTTGCTTATATTGCAGACAACTGTGTAGGCGGTCGCTCTGTCCGTCTGAAAAAGATGTATGCAGAAGTAAAGTCTGTGGCAAATGAACTTCTTTATTGGATTGCAGCAAGTGTGTCATTAGGGAGCTGTTAGTGAGAAAGATGATTGCCCTGCAGACATTCACAGACTGCTTTGGAGTGGAGAGACATATTTGTAGAAATCTGAGACCAGTTAGTCAGGTCCAATGGCCTGTGAGTTGCCTATTGCTTCCCTCACAAAGATCTAACACTTTTAGGTACCACAAAAAATGGAATGGGATAAGACTTTAAAAAGAAAAAGTATATTCATTTTAAATAAGTTTCTGTTAATAAATGAGTGAATCATATTGCTGTGGGTAAAGCTCTGTGGTCCCTGACATCTATCTGTATTTAGGGAAACAGATGGCAAACCTCTTGCTGAAGATTAGGAGGGATGCTGCTGGAGGGGCTGCTTCTGAGAGAGGGCCCTAAGCTGTCAGACAGGGATCCTGCTTTTGAGCGTTGCTTCCCTACCAGCCAAGCATCCTGCTCGAGCTTTCTGCCTGCTGTCCCATCCTCACCTGACCTCAGAGCCAGGGCTGTGTCTATGAATGTTTCTTTTGAAAACAGCTGCTGCATAAATTATTTGACAGAATTTTGGCATCGGGCATTTTATGCACCATCATTTTCTGAAGAAAGCTTTCATTGTCATCTTTCAACAATTGCTTTATTTGTAGCTTTCTGTGGCATAACTCAAAACTTGAGTTAAAAAACTTGATACTGATTTAAAAATCTCAACTGCCTTGTAGTGAAACTAATTGAAATCACAGCTTTTCATTTCAAGAGTGTTCTTGACATTCTGGATGACTTTATCTGTCTGTGCTGTGGAGCCTGCGGATACTTTTGTTGTTTTGGTCCAGAGTCCAGATTAGTGCATATACTTCTGAAGGTCCTGAGTGTTATACCAGTAGGAAGTCTGCAAAGTCACAGCCCTGTTAAACCTGACTTGGAAGAGGGACCTTTAGGATTTTAAATGCTGAAGTGGTGAGCCTTTATGCCTTGTAGGTCACAAGCTGCTTTCAGAATGCAGGAATCAAAAGGAATATCATTCCCAATCCCAGCTGGCCAGGGTCTTTTTTTTAGGCCTTTTTTTTTTTTCCCCACTATTTGCACTGCCATTTCCCATGAGTGTTAAGATTAAAGTAAGTGTAAGTAATTAGTTGCTTCAAAGTTAAGAATTTGGCATCTGCTAAATATAAATTTATCTGAACTCGCATTAGTAGCAAAAGCGAACTGCCACTCCAGTAATAACAGTGGAGATACACAATATTTTGCCTGGCTGCAATTTTTGGTTTCTTTTGGCCCAGTATTTCCCTCATGTTTGTTTTGTTTTTAATGTTAGCTGGTGCCAATGATTGGGAAAGATAGGGTGATTTTCGGTTTTCATTCAGTGCTTATTTGATGTCAATGTTTTAAGATCTGTGC